TCAGTATTTGGTGGTTGTACTATCATAATTATTTGAAATATAATTCTGGAGCAGGGACCTCTGTGCCATCTTCTAAAAAGTCGATTACGCCGGGCATGTTAAGTTTAGGAATTGGAATTATGTGGGCGGAGTGTATTTCATTAAGGACCATGTGTTGAATGTTGAAGACAGCTTTGAGGGCAATATTTAGTTTTTCTACTGTTATTTTATTGCGCTTTAGTAGTTCTTCCATCTCTGCATGCAGGATTGCAATATGATTTTCATGTTCAACGACTCTGGATTCTGTGTCTATAGCGCCTTCTGTTTTAGCTGCTTCGTTGAGCGCAGCTGCTTTCTTTGGTGTAACTGTAAAGATGTTCAAATGCCTTTCCACTTCATCGAGATTAGAATTTCTGTGACCTTGATCGACAACTTCGGGTTGAATTTAAATGGGCAGGTGCAGTAAGGGGTGAAAATGTGACAGTTTCCATATTAGGAATTTTAGCAGCCATTGCACGGTTAGCATCATCTTGAGTTATAAAGCCTAAACGGATAGTTTTCAACGTTTTGTTGGTGGAGTCAGGTTTGATGGAGACACCAATGAACGAAGGGTAAGCTGCGCTATTGAAGAGTTCGCAAGCTTTGTTGGTTTTTTCTTTGAAGGATTTATTCAGAAGAAAGGTTTCTGCGACGCAGTATATGTAGAAAGTAGTCACGTCTCAAACTCTTTCAAAAGTAATGGTATTTTTGCTAGCATTTTTTTTGTTTAATAGATTTTCTGATGCGTCAAACGCTTGGTCTTCGTCCATTTTATTATTATCATCCCCAGAGACTGATGTTTCACTATCCTTTGGTTTGAGGATGAGAGAAGGACCAGTAGTTGTATTTGGTGTAGTGTGTTCTATAGGAAACTAGACAGAAGTGTCGTTTGTAATATCTATTGTATTTTTGTTTTTATTTCTATTATTGATTTCTGCAAGTTCTGTTGCTGCTTGCTGGTCTATGCTCATATCACCAGCTGAAAAAATGTTGGTAGTAGTTACTACGTTGGAAGGTCCAGCTGGATTTTCTGGAGTTTGGGCAGACCTGCTAGTCATTGTTTTCTTCTGGGAAGGTTTGTCTTTATTTTTAGTTGGGGAGTCAGGGCACATACGCAAGTTGCGGTTATTGTTTTGTGAAAATTTTTGATTTTTTTCTTTTTCCATTTTTTTGGTTTTTGGAGAGAGAGGGGAAAAGTTTTTTCCCGATATACAAAAATAATCTGCAGTATTATTAATTGATTTAATTTTACTATTCCTAGTTAAATTTTATTAAATATAGCTGGTCTTTCAAGATTATGCTTTCATGCTGATTAATAACATTATATAGAACTAGTAATAACCAGTGATAACTAGTGATAATAAAAAATTCGTATTCATGTTATCCTAATTCTAATCCCAATTTATATCCTAATATACCTAAAAATGTGGTAAAAATATAATATGAATATGTTCTAATGATTTAAATTTCAGGACACAAAATTAGCATACATATACCAGCACAATGGTTAGACTACAAGATGATGTATTTCTTAATAAACAAATGGATTAGATATAATAATACATATTATACCTTCAACTATAGATAGAAATTATCATATATATACTAGTTTTTCATGAAAGAAGACATGGATGATGATGGTCTAAAGGATGACATTGATCCTTAAGAAATAATATGTCTTTTATATCATCTATGTCATTTATAGCATATATTTCTTTTATATAATATATTTCTTTTATTTATTTTATCTTATTTATCTCATATATTTATTATATTT